TTCTATTAAAATAAATACTACACAAAATAAAGACGTTGTGTTAAATCAACGACTTTTCTCTTACATTTAACTGTGTAATAACTTCATCTAAATTAAAAGTAAAAAAATATATATAAATTCGTTATTATATTTATGAGGTTAAACAATTGACAGTCAATATTCTATCATAACGTAAAGTGCAAAGAATAATATTTCATCGCACGGATTCGAACCCAGATCGCCAATTCCGATATTTTGAGTTCTACTAACCCGTGCCCTTTCTTTATTTTTTTAAACAAAAACAGGTCAAATAATTAATATGAAAAAAATAGAGACCTTAAGATTAAAATGGATACAAGATAAAAAAAATTATGAGCTATAGTGAACAATATGCTGGTTTAGAAAAAAAAACGATCCAAAAATATATAAAGTGGCATTGGTGTAAATTCATTAACGTCACGATTTTCAAGGGGCAGGGGGATCGGTGATTGTGCACGAATCAAACATTTATTTTTATGTGTTTTGTAAGTAAATTATAACCCAATCTCTCTTTAATGTTAGTTATATTAACAGTTTTGATTAAAATGTTTTTTCTCAATTTCGACACTCCTTGTGGGCAGCTTACCAGTAAACAATCGTTTATTCCTTTTACCTCCCCCCCCCCTCGATGGGACAGCGGCAAGTCTAAAGATTTATATAGCTAAAACCAAGGGTTCGATTCTCCTCGTGGGACACAGCGGATCGATCAAAGAGGCTTTGCTATGAAAAACACACACACACGATCATATATGCTCTATCACTCCATTTTAAGATAGATTATTTAGGTTTATCTAGAATCCAACATCAAGAGGAATTTGAAAATTGGTTCATCTTATTGAAACAGGATGTTTGAATTCAATAGTGTTAAACGTTCAAGAAATCCGTGGCTCGCCATGGCCAAGTGGTTAGGGCGCTCGACTCGCAATCTGAGGGTCGCGAGCTCGAATCCCCGTCCCACCAAACATGCTCGCCCTTTCAGCCGTGGGGGCGTTATAAGTTCAGATCAATCCCACTATTCGTTGGTAAAAAAGTAGCCCAAGAGTTGGCGGTGGGTGGTGATGACTAGCTGCCTTCCCTCTAGTCTTACAATACTAAATTAGGGACGGCTAGCGCAAATAGCTCTCGTGTAGCTTTGCGCGAAATTCAAAACAAACAATCTTTTTTATCATATATGTTATTATGAGGATTATTTTAGATTGCTAGTTTGATAAATAGGCTTAGGACTAGAATAAATTCCCTAAGCTGGCCGAGCTTCGTGAGATTATTTTGGGATTACAGCCGAAAGTATCGATAACGATAAGGAAGTTCAACAAACAAACAAACGATGTGTTCTAATCGTTATATTCTTTCTTTTTTTTTGGCATTGCATTTTCCAAATTAAAAAGATTTTTTAGTTCCATTGTATTAACTACTAAGTCAATTTTCAGTTATGACCTATGTAAGTAACTTTAATTAAAAGTTAATTATCATTTAATAAACTAACTGCACATGTTTGTCCCGCGCACTGCTTAATGCAGTAATGTAAAGAAAAAATAAATAATTTCTTCGTGGAATATTTCATTAATTTATTGAAGTAACATATGAGTCAGAAGCAAAGTCTACATACAGCTTCAACTTGAAACTTGTGCAGTGAAAGAAAATTTATTGCCCATAAATAATAGGCACAATTACCTACTCCACGTTGTCTACCCTACACAGAAATCACTTACAGGACCAAAGTGTACTGTTTGTATGTCTAAACAGTTTGTTGTATTTCTTGCAAAGTCAGTCGAAGGTTATCTCTGCTAGCCGTCCCTAATTTTGAAGTGATAGACGAGAGGTAAGGCAGCTGCTCAACATCACCCACCGCCAATTCTTGGGCTACTCTTTTATTAACGAATAATAGGATTGACCGTTACATTATAACGGCCCTGCTGCTGAAAGGACGAGCATATTTGGTGACGAGATTTAAACCCTCGACCCACAGTTTGCGAGTCCATTGCCCTAACCACCAGGTCATGCCAGGCAGGCCTAAGTAGGAAAATAGTCATGAATGTGATTTTTTTTTTCAAATCAGAAAAACGTCTTTTGACTAATGACCATCAAGTTGATCACTTTAGTGTTACGAGGTTTTTTTTTCTAATTGAGAAAGTTGCTGGATTTCTGTCATTGTTGTTGTTTTTTACTATGATATTTCGTCTTTAAAACGTCTTCTAGTACATTGTTACTATATGTAACACGAAAACTAAAGATATATCTTTATTAATAAGTTAGTCCTCCATAACATATTGTAAAACACAGATTCTCTCTTTGAGAAGCGATTGTCGACATAAAGGGTTTTTATCTATTCAGGTCATTTAAGCCTCAATTCTGTCATTTTTTTTTTCTGCAAAACAAGCTACACCCCCCACCCCCACCCCTGGGTGCCTCAGTGATTAGGCTTACGTCGCTAGAAATCGGGTTTCGATATCCATTGTGGGTATAAAACTTAATAACAACCAAACCAATCATTTAGCTGTCGTGTATTTTTATTTTTTATACAAAGAGGAATGTTATAGAAACAACACAGTTTTTCTTCTTAAACTTTCATGAAGCAGTAAGTTTAAAATATGGATTTCAACCACTGCCAGTGGAGAATGTTATAATGAATATTTTTTTTTAGTTCTCAAGTATATATATAACATCTGTCAGTTTCTAAGACTAATTGTATAAATATGAAATGGCCCCCCAGTGGCACGGCGGAATGTCTACGGACTTACAACGCTAGAATCCGGGTTTCGATACCCGTGGTGGGCAGAGCTCAGATAGCCTATTGTGTAGCTTTGTGGTTAATTACAAACAAACAAATATAAAATAGACTCTAGAATAACAGAATAAAGCTACAAAAGCTCAATTAATTAGCTTTTACATCCTTTGAATTCTGGGACAGATGCATTCACCCACAGGCCCGGCATGGCCAGGTGGTTAGGGGGCTCGACTCGCAATCTAATGACTCGGGTTCGAATCCCCCTCACACCAAACATGCTCGCCCATTCAGCCGTTGGGGCGTTATAATGTGACGGTCAATCCCACTATGCGTTGGTAAAAGAGTAGCCCAAGAGTTGGCGGTGGGTGGTGATGACTAGCTTCCTTCCCTCTAGTCTTTCACTGCTAAATTAGGGATGGCCAGCTCAGATAGTCCTCGTGTAGCTTTGCGCGAAGTTCTAAACAAACCACACAATATTCTGTTTGATCGTTAACTAAGAACACTATACTTCTCCCCCTGTTTACATTACATCCAATTAGCTTTAACATCATAATCTCAAATCATAATTTAGACTGGTAATTGTAAGTTTGATCGTTAACTAAGAACACTATACTTCTCCCACTGTTTACATTACATCCAATTAGCTTTAACATCACAATCTCAAATCATAATTTAGACTGGTAATTGTAAGTTTGATCGTTAACTAAGAACACTATACTTCTCCCACTGTTTACATTACATCCAATTAGCTTTAACATCACAATCTCAAATCATAATTTAGACTGGTAATTGTA